TGTCTTAGCCTGGCTACTTGATGTATTAGTCAGTTTTCCTCAGAAAAACAGAAACAATAGGGAAGAGAGAAGAGAGAGTGAGAGAGACAAGTTTTTAAGGAATTGGCTCATGTGATTATGGAGGCTAGCAAATCCAAAATCTACAGCGTCAGTCAACAGAGGAGACCCAGGGAAGAGCCAATGTTGCAGTTCCAGTCCAAAGGCCACCTTCTAAGAAAAGTTTATTCATACAAGAGGGAGAAGGTGCAGGGGAAGTCTTATTCCTTCAGGCCTTTAACTAATTGGATGAGGCTTACCTACATTACATAGAGCAATCTGTTTTACTCAAAGCTGACCAATTTAAATGTAACCTTCATCCAAAAAACATCCTCACAGAAACATTCAGAATAATGTTTGATCAAATTTCTGGGTACAATTACCCTACCAAGTTGATACATAAAATTAGCCATCACACCTAGTATATGCCCAGTTGTGCTTCTCTTACCTGTGGCAAATCCATACGGGTTTGCACCGACCACAGTTCTTGCCTCCTCAGAAGAAAGAATTCAACTGAGGGGCATAAGGCAGAAGAAGAGATGGAGGCAAGTTTTAGAGCAGGAGTGGAAGTTTATTAAAAAGCTAAAGAACAAATAAAAAGAAACTAAAGTATACTTGAAAGAAGGCCAAGTGGGCATCTTGGGGGTCAAGTGCAGAATTTGAGCTTTTGACTTGGGGTTTTATATGCTGGCATACTTCCAGCGTCTTACATCCCATTTCCTTTTATTCTTCCCATACCACAAGCTGCTTGCATACATGGCAGCCTGCTAGTGCTTGAGAGGTGGGCATGAGCAGTGTGTTTACTGGAGCTGTACACATAATCCCCTAGGGTGTTCTTCCCTCTTCCAGTGAAATGACCCGAAAGGTCATATACTAGTTAAATACCACCATGTTGCCTCTTAATGCACATGCTCAAGCCCACTCACCCAGTTCCTGAGATCTTATTGGGAAGCTGCTGATCACTAGTCACAGGCATTTTTATCTGTTGGGAAACTGCCTTGCCCTGGCACTGGCTACAACCAATGATTATTTTGGAAAGGTAGGGTGACAATCGTCTGCCACCTCACCATCAGCTGATGGTTGCCTGACATTCCTGGTGGGGTGGAGGGAGGCCTTTCCTGGCCCACGCATACCTGGCTAGCTACCTACTGTCACACTTCTGCCAAACCTACCTCCTATTCTCTCTTTTCTGTTGTGTGCCAGCCAAAATTCAAGGAAGAAGAATATCTGCTCCCAGGTGGATTTTAGTGTCAAAATGCAAAATGATTTATAGGAGAAAACTTTGTCTACCAGAGGGACAACATGAGGGTCCACCCATCCTAAAGCTTTATTTACTGTTAGAATTTTTTTTAAGTAGGGAGAGAAGTTACATATAGAATAGCACAGGATCTAAAAAGGTTAGCCCAGCATCTTGAATATTGTAACTGCTAAAGAAATGTTAATTGCCCTTGGAAAATATTTATCTATCAAAATATAGATATCCATAAAAAATAAAGTATCTGATTCATAGCTAACGGCTCACCTGCTGCTAATACCCTTTAAATCAGAGCTATATTATGTAGTGTCTTTTGGGTAGATGAAAGAGCTAGGGAGAGTTAAATATGGCAGAATGTGGGCAGAGATGTGCAGATACGATCCCCCAAAGTTTTGAATATTAGAACAATAACACATAATAAAATTAATTTTCTCTGTACACATTTATGTTCTTTCACCAGTAAGTTATTTTCTGTTTATTATTGAAAGAAAAAGACATCAAGATTTCTTAAAATGTGTTATGGGTGGATAATGATTTTAAAAGCAGAGAAAATATACTATGTAATCATTGAACAGGTGTCTGCTTGCAAAAAGAAGTCAATAACATTTAAAAACAATTCTTCATCAAAATGGGTTCTACTTCTAAAATATGATGGACAATATATTCTGTGGATACTTAATACAAATTCATTTGAAAGCCATCTTAGATCTTTTACTCGGTGGTCACTTGCTGTGTCTTTGTTTTTATTTTAGAAAGCCAAAAAAAAAAAAAAAAAACAAATATTATTTAGACTAATACAGACCAATATTCAGTTGTTTGCATTTGGTAGCTCTGTGTGACAGTAAAGATACATTTATATTAGTTCCTTATTTTAATTCTTCATTTGGGCAACAAGGAATTGCTATATTGTTAGTTTTTTGTGTAATGCAATATGTATAGGGAATCTTTAACCTATCTAAGGTGATATTGGCAATAGATTGAGAATCCAGATGACTGGAATCTATGAGACTTATTCAATATATTGTTTTGATGGTTTATCGTAGGTTTTGATTTAAGTTAAATAAGATAGAATGTTCAATTGGAAACTATCAGCATATTTGTATTTTATGTGTAACCACATACTCTAATATTAAGAGAAGGTGAGATGAGCATGACATTTTAGCCACAGGACTCGGGAATGCCAAAATCTTTCTCTAGAAAAATACCTCTCACAATTTTCTGGAAACAGACAAATGAAGATGACAATGACCAGTTAAACAAAGTAACACTTTATTAAAAATTAAGTCCTTGCTGCTCCAGAAGCCACTGACAAAGTCTGGTAAATTGTGCTGAAATTCGATAGAACTCATACCTAAAGAATATACAAGAGCGACCATCATCCTGCTGAGCTGACATTAGAAAAAGTCACTCCTATAGAACAAAAGCTGTATCTCCCAGCTCCGGAAGACACAGAGACAAAGAAGCAGAAAAGAGTTTTTGCTCCATTTGCCTAGCAATGAGTCAGCCTAGACCACTTGCTGTAGACTTTCCAAGATTAAGGCAAGGTCTCCTGCTGTGCAGCAGAGTGGAAAAAAAATAATGTGTGTGTGTGTGTGTGTGTGTGTGAGAGAGAGAGAGAGAGAGAGAGACAGAGACAGAGACAGAGACACAAAGAGACAGACAGAGAGACAGAGGCAGAGACAGAGATAGAGAGAAAGCTGATACCCTTACCACTTTTCAAGTGTGGAGGAAGGAAAACTGGCAAAAGCAAAATCAAAGCCCTCTTCAAAATTCCACCTGTGGAAAACTCAGCATGTCAGCAATCAGTGGCCAAGCAGTGAAGCAGTTCAGCTCTAGCTTCTTGGATGGAACAAGGAGAGGAAGGATAGAACTGCTGACTATTGAGCTGATTTGGTCATGAGAAGGAGGTAAAAAAGAAGACCAGAGTAACCCCAAGGCTAACCTGTGCCCCATAGACAAGTTCATGATTCCATGACAGTTTTGGTTTTCACAAAATATTTGTTCAGCCATGTAACTTATTTTTTTAGACTCATGTATTTTTTAAAAGTTGTCCAGCTCTAGAAATATAATTTCAAGAAGTTATACACTCAAATTTCATTCATCTACTCAATAGTCATTGAGAAAAACCCTGATTTTTTAGGAGTATAAAGAACTAAGATGAATCTGTCCTTGAAGAAACTTGCATTTTAGTAGTCACTGTCAAAAATAACTAGCATATAAAGTATGAAGTAAAAATTGCCATGAAATATATATAGCTCAAGGACTATGAGAATTTATAGGAAAATGAAGATTTTTTTAAGCAACAAATTTCACTAGGATTTGTGTAAAGTAGTATAATCAATTTTGAAATGACCATTTAGAAATTATAAACAGAACACATACAATACTTATTTTGAAGAGAAAAAAAAGATAAGCAAATATACACCTGAATGATTCAAATATCAATACATCTGCTCCAAAGCTCTAAAACTAATTAGATATTTGGTTTCATGATTGCAATTAGCCTTTAAAAAATAGGCATTTATTAACATAGTTTAGTATTATAATGCCAATTAGTGATAATTCTATTCTGGAAAGAAATAATAATTAAAAGTAGTTGGCCTCTAAATAAATTAAAAAGCAAGCTTGCTAACTTAATTTTTAAAATTTGGCATGGGGAATTTATTGTGATAATCTTCCACTTTGGATGTATAACGAACTTGAAGAAAACAAAATTCTTTTTTCTTGCTTTGGTTATTTCTCATAGCTTTCCCCTGCCCTTCCACCATACTCCTCACCGCACAGACTCCTACTTTACCCATTTACATTTCCACTGGAATATAAGAGAAAGTATCAGGGTATTTTCAAGAACTTGGAAGCTGAGAAAAAAAAATCCCTATACGATAGAATTAATTATAATCACTTGAGAGATTTGAATAATTAGTCGAAAGTTGCAGAAGGTAGAAACCAGCTCAATATAAGGAAGAACTCCCTGAAGATTAGGAAGAATTAAAAGTAGTTTTCTTAGATATTTCCAATACCTCAATTTATTCAAAGGACAATTGGAAAGTCCTCTATTGGACATTGTAGAGCTGATTGATGTAAGAATTCATTAGAGCTGGTGAGGAGATAGATAGACTTGTTTATTTATAAGTTTTCTTCATGAACTGAAAAGGCTTTCTGTCACAGAAATTATTTTCTAACAAAGGAGTTGTTCACGTTATGTTTCTCTTTCAGAAAATTATATCCCCTACACAATTTATTCCCTGAAACTGTTTTGAGCTGAGCCATCCAGATAATCCTGCACCTGGTACACATGGGCCATTCAGGAGAAGAATGAACTTGGGAAACAAAATTAGATATGAGGTGCTAAGTTGCACATGCACATTCTTTTATACCTATTACCTCCTGTGTATTGGAGAGTAATTAAATATTTCAGAAGGGTGGATGTAACTATAAGTTTTAGGATGAGAGCTTGGTGTAATTCAGTTGAGTTAAATAGAATGTGGTCAGAAGTCAGCCATCTTTGGCACCTATGCACAATAATACATTTCCTGTATTTATTAGCTTTTAGCGTCAGTGATGATTACTTTCTTTCTATACAGATTTCATTAGGATACAACACATATTTTTGAAAAAATATTGGTTTCTGGTGATGAGCAATCTTCTGGTAGCTTCAAGATTCCATCCAGCATTTTTAAGTTTGGCAAACAGGAGAATACTCTAAAGCAAAAGTAAAAAAAAAAAAAAAAAAGCCGTATTGAACAAAAGCATTTTATTTCACTTATTCTCTTTATATGTGAATGGATTTTGCCTATTGTTATATGGAAGATGAATAGCTATCACTTCATTCTGTGTTGCTTATCTTTGCAGTGTAGCTAAAATGAAGTATTATTCAGTTAATTGAACTGGTGACCCTGTCATAGCTTGCCCTTTCAGGGATCTAATATATCTTCCAGCAAGTGGTAAATTTGACCAGATAAGTGGAACTGCCTACAGTCTGTCTTTATAAGAGAATTTCATTCCAGTTTTTACAATCTTATAAGGAAAAAAAAAATCAATGAGTGGATTTAGCCAACTAACCACAAAAGAAAAAGTAAGATCATGATATATGTGCTCATTATAAAGTTTAAGTTTATAAAGAGAGAGAAAGTAAAGCAAGCCCATGATATTTAGTGATAATTAAAGAAGAATTCTGGCTGGTAAATATAAAAGAGGGAGTGGGAAATAATATTGTGCTGTAAAGCTCATATTTCAAATTTAGGGAGTCACTTCTATGTTCAGAAAGAGATCTCTCAGGTCAACCCAGTTAACAGTGGTCATATACATACTAGTGTTAAAAAGCAGCATTTTCTTTAGAATGAACAGCTTTTCTAGATCTGGAATTCTGAGGGCTCAGGCTGGGGGAAATCTATGGCATTCGAATTTCCCTTCATGAAAGATATTGAAACCTCCTAGCAGATATGCTAAGTCAACTAATGAAGGTGCTGACCTCCTTGAAAGCTCCCATTGGCTGCATGATTTTCTTAACATTAATCACTTCTTATGCATCTCTTTTAATCCTCACAACAAATCTGTCAGATTGGTTTTTATCCCTCATTTTAAGTAACTTATTCAAAATTATAAAGCCTCTAGATGACAACGCAAATATTAAAATCTACGTCTTCAGGCTTCAAAATTCAGACTAAGCTGGCAAGAATTTCTAGCCACTGTTTTTTTTTTTTTTTTTTAAGTCAAGCTATAATGAACTAATATCATGTTTGACTCCTGGAGAATGTTAGAGAAGTTTGCCTGTAGGTGTCCCAGGAATGGGGCCACCTTCTAACCTACTGGGACTTAAAATATTAGCTCTATCATTAAGTCCTTTCTCTTTTGAATTGTGCTGTCTTCCGGATCTGAAACAAAGGAGGAGGGGAAAGCAGTGACAATTCTAGGAGATAATGATCAAGAAAAGCTTATACTTCAAATAATTCTGAACATGGTGTGTAAAAAGAGTCACCCGAAACTCTGGCCCAAATCCTCAACACAGATACCCAGTGACAAAATGAATGCTGTTACCGTCTTCACACTGTGGATTTTTGGCTTGGTAACTGAACTCATACTTGAATGAACTTCTGACTTCAGCTCAGTTCCTTAGCATGAGTGGATGCTTAAACCTTTTCCTCATATTTTAAAATGACCCCATCTTTCTGTTCAATACAACCCTGCCCTACCTAAGGCAATATAACCTGGCTTTTTATAACTTAAAAGTCAGCCTATATACACCTTGGACTTAATCCAATTGAGTTAATACTGGAAAAACAGAAGAACCTCATTATATTCCTCTTTCCTTCATAACTCTACACCACATCATGAATTTTGTAGACAGAATTATAGTAAGACCTCAGGGCATATCAGATTTCAGACAATTCATTTTAATACTGTTATTGTAAGGCATTCTTTGAAGAGAAGCAAGTGGCTGAGCTGGGAACAAAATGCTTTATAAAACCCCACATATGAATTAACAAAACTGAAATACATAATATTAAATTATTTTTATGACTAGGAATGTTCTTTCTTATGAATGATGGTTGAAATGTCCAGCTTAACCTCCTCTGATTATAGAAAATATAATTTAAACCTCCAAATATTATTATGGCTAAATATTAGCTGAATATTGTAGCAACTGTGCTGCTACTTTTCACTGTTATGTGAAAGCAATTTAAGAATTTATTATCACAGACATGAAATTTTGCTTCCAGACTATAGTCATAGGGGAGACAATTGTAGTAATGAGATTTATGTAACAACAGAGATTAGAATTTCTATTTTGACAAGTGTTCATTGTACATCAGGCGGTGAAGTCTAACATCATATAGGCTTTTGGAATATAGTTGCTGTTCATGGGAACAGAGCAGTGTGAGAAAATAAGATGGTGAAAACTATGTCTTTTACTGAAATGGAAGTAAACAAACGATTGTAATCATAGAATAGAAATCGACCGTGGAGATGATCTAACTCTGTTTGACAGATTCAACTGGGAGGGGAGATAACCTGCAGTCATAGGGGTGCAAATATAAGTTGTAGAATTCGGTTGCTCTTTTTATCCTTTTAATTCCCCTAAGTACACTAATTAGTGGTGCTGGGAATTAGCTGGAGATAAATAGGTGGGCATATTACTGGGTGCACACTTCAAGGTTTAGATTCCAGTATTATCATTAGGAATGTTCCCAGTTGGGACAAAGTAATAAAAATGGTTTCTTCTTGGCAGGTTTTTGAGCTCTTTCAACACTGGAGCAAACTGAATTCTTTGTATTCACTTAATGTTGCCCTCGGGGGCCAAAGAGTGAAAGTAAAACCAGAGAATTAACAATTTATAAAATTGTCACACAGAACTTAATAAAATATACATACATATGTATAATTCTTTAAAAGACATAATATCTATTAAGCATGTGGGAGAAAATGTGTGGAATTTGAAAGTCTAAAATTAAGCATCTTTGTATAGGTAAAGTCATTACAGAAGGAGCCTAAAAATCTTACAGCAACTATAAGTTAACCAAGAAAAAAAAGTGTGTTACGATAAAATTTTAAAAAGATAAAGAAAGGTCAGTTCAAAAGTCTTTAGATGAGATCAGAAGCATGAAGTCTTCAACGTAGAGTAGATTCTATAACTATTTGCTGGTAAATTCGAGCAACAGAGGAACAATATTTTAAAATATGGTTAAAAGTATAATATTCAATGAAGTGCAAAAGGTGACTTAGGGTGTTTGGGGCCTTACCGCTTCCTGTAATTTTGGTGGAACTCACAGGGGTTCCTCTTGAGAATAAGGGATTCCAGTGGCGTGCACCGTAAACTGGAGAGTCCAGTCAGAGTCTCAATGTGGTTTTCGGCCAAGGATAAATGCTCTATCTGAGGTATCTTTGGCAATTGTTTGAAAGATGTGAGATGGTTTTTGCTCATGTTTAAAATTCTGCAGCTGGATACAAAACATAAACATCTTGTTACTTGTCTCCTAAAGAGAATGGTTAACTACCAAACCCAACATAAGACTAGCATGCCTCCTCTAGACAACTCTTCAACGGAGTAACAGTGATGTTACTGACATGACTGTCACATGCAAACTATGTGACAAATATGGTTTGCAAAAAAAGGAGAAATATTTATAGTAGAATATTAAGAGAAAATAAGTAAGATACATGAGACTATAAGCTTGTGGAGCATAGGAATCTGCATTCTTTTCTAATGAATATGCTTGGTACCTGACTTGACCCATGGTGGATTCTTGATATATCCTAATGAAAAGGATGAATAGCTGCATATCATCCCAGCAATATAAAAGTAGACACACACAAAAATAATAACTTGTGAAGAATACCATCTCTAAGTAGTGAGAATTTTTTAAATTTTCTGTAATTTAAAAAAGTCTATATTGAGAAAACAGCATTTTAAATCAGACGAGGCATTTTTAATATAAAAGAAAACTAAAACGTTTCTTAAAAAGTAGTGTGTTAGGCATTTCAACTGAATACATTTTCCTGATAGATATTGCTTCTCAATATTTTTGCCTTAAAACTGTAATTGTACAAGACTGTGCAAATAGAGAAAATAATTCAAAATCTATCACTGACACTGTATAAGTTAGGATTTAATATCATGAGGTAAATACAGGGTACATATTTATTTGCCTTGGGCCCCATAAAAGATGCTTGGTAAATGGTCATTTCTAATGGGAAAGATGGTTCTGTAAAGAGAGAACTGCAATACACAGGCATTAGGAAAAAAAAAAATCCCTTTGAAGCACCCAGATGTCATTGCAATTTTTTGTATCTATTATTTGTATTTTTCTTGTTTCCTTTCAGTCCCGCTTCATATATATATTTTATATAGATCTCATCTGACCTTTGATAACTTTTGACTTCTGCTTATTTCCAGAATTCGTATAGACTTCAGGAACACTTCAGTACTATGACAATTTCTCATTGAAAACCCAGTCCAAGAAGTTCCTACCCTGCTGCCTCTCTCCCTATTCTCCTCTGCAATCTATTATTTTCTTGTTTACCAGCCATGATCTCACTTTTTGGTGGGTATCCTTTTGTCCTTTCAGTGTCTCAGATTCACCACATCATTGATTGCCCCAGTCGACAGGAAATGTTAGGGGAGAGAAGCAGGGCAAAGCAGGTGGGTGGTGACACAACTTTCTCTGGGGATAGGGAAAGGAGGCTTTGAATATACGTGCATCCATGATTTTTTCTTCCCTAATGAGTTGATTTGGCAGTTGTAAAGTTTGATTTGAAATTATATAATTTTATATTATAAATCTTACCTCTAAAGAAAAGAATAACCAAGAAATGCATCTAGAGAACACTGAAACTGGGTCAAGTCTTTTAACGATTGTGATTTTTCTTTTTTAAATAAAATAGTAAAAGCTTGAAAAGCTTATTGAGCTGGATCAAAGCAACTTCAAATATTACAAGTAAATAATCTTCTAGTTCAATGTTCCTAAAATATACTATGGGCATTTGTGACTAATAAAATATTTTTGTTTTGTGTTTAAATGTTATAATGTGTATTTAAATATGTATTATAAAAACATAACTAATGCATCACTATCATATCCCCAGTAGCTAGAAGAGGGTCTAGCCAAAAGAAAAGAAAAGAAAAGAAAAGAAATACTGAATAAATGAATATCAGTGATATTGATTTTTAAATTTATGGTAGTAATATAAAGTTTCTTTCGAAAATTTTTATTTGGGTATTTTTATATTGGTTATTTAAAAAGAGCAGAAGTAAATTCGAATGCTATGTAAGTGTGTCTAAAGTTTCAAAGAGGCTTTGAAAATGACTGAAGGTGGGGAAATGCAGGCACGTTGCATGTCCTGGCACTTCCTGTCTGCTTCCCTTTTGTGTACAGCTGTAATGGCCTCGTTCTGTGACCTTCTCTCAGCCAATGGTCAGAACTGTAGCTTAACCTGCTCTAGAAATTACCCTTCCTTTTTGTGGATGCTCTATTTCCTTCATCTAATTCACTCATGAGGACCTCTGTTGGCCCTTCTCATTGCCACCAAAGCTCACTCCACCTACCCATTCTGCTTGCTGAAGCAAATAGCAGCTCCCTGTTAATAAGGATTCTCAAGCAATCCCTGAGCAGAAAGAGATTATTTTTAACAATATGAGTTTGGAATCCTTGAGAGACCAAAGAGTCTGTAAATATATATATATTTATTTTTAGTTTATTTCTATCTTTAATCTGATAACCAGCCTCCACTCCAAAAACAGGATGTTACCCTGACACCTACTATCCTTAACTACCTTCTAAAGTCTTTCCCCATAGGTGTTCAAAAAATATGACTAAAAATTACTATCTTACGACCATAATGTGTATGTAATGTAATTGCATTTTCCAGTTTATAACACAAGGAAAATGGCAAACTTTTCTGTGCATACAAATAATTTACCTAAAATTTAGTAATAAAATATTAATTTGAAAAAATAGATGTTTCCTACTAAAGTATGACATTTTGATACATAAATTTCTCTTTTTGCCTTGCTATATGTGCCACTTTAGTGCAAAGTGTCACCTTTAGACCTGACCACATAGGTCCAGTGTGGGTGGAAAGTCTCATAAGTGCCAAAGCAGGAGACTAAGCCTCGGCCAGTTCCTGTGTAATAAATAAGAGTACAGAAAGGAATACAGTTAGGAATAAGTAGCATGAGTGATTAGATATTAACCTTATTGAGCATTAAGACTTGATTAAAGCCTTCTTGTACTTTAAGCATGATTATCTAGGAACTTCGAGTTGCTGTGGTCAGGGACTGATAGGGGACACTATGGAATGTGGCCACGAGGCAAGAGCATTAATACCTGTCCAACATGGACTGGCGGCCATCAGCAGGGACAACCTGTTGAATGCGAAACCAAGCCCTCTGTCACACCGCATAAGGGTTGCTGGAGGGCACCTAAAATCTCTGCGGTAGCTCCAGTGCTTGGGGAAGCACCCGCTCCTCAGCCGACCTTGGAAGGGAACATCTCTGTCCTTGGGCGAGTCGGAGAATGCTCCACTCTCCATGCTCTTGTGGGAGGACTGTCAGTCAGCCCAACCCGAAGCTACCCTGGGGCTTAATTGTCTCTGTGGTGCTGCGCTGTATTGGTTACATCTGTGTCGGCTTTCACTCCCTACTTCTGCACCTGTTCCTCTTTTGTAGCTAGCAAGAAGGAGCATACTTCTTGAAGCCTTTGTTCTTACTAGAGGGCATAACATAAAGTGCAGACGCATTTCGCTGCCCCCTGCTTCGGGTACTTGCAAGCCCTGGGCCCCTGTTCCTTTGACACGTGATTTGCTTGACCCTCTCAATAGACTCACCCTACCTACCCTGCCCCCTGTTTTGTGCCCAATAAAAGTCAGAGTGTCCAGGCACTCGGGGCCACTACCGGTCTCCGCATACTGGTGGTAGTGGTCCCCTGGGCCCAACTCCTTTTCTCTTGATTTCTGCGTATCGTGTCTTTATTTCTACAGTCTCTCATCTCCGCACCTGTAGAGAACACCCTCTAGACCCAGCAGGGCTGGACCCTGCAGTCCAGGTGCAGTATGTACAGCTAATGATCACATGCATCTAAATAGCAAAGAGTTTAACCTGGTAACCACACGTGCTACAGATCAGATACCTTGGCAATCTTATGGCACTTAAGTCCACCAGTGAATTATCCACTAACCAGAGGGTTTCAACTCGAATTAGTCTTCTAAGAATTCTGTTAAAATTTTCAACTTGGCAAGGATCCCCCAGATCCTGAAATGAAATGTTCAAGTTCTGAGGAAAAACCAATAAAAAGAAAAATATAAGGTTTTTTTTTTTGGTCAACTTTATTCACTTAAAATGTATTGTATACATTAATTATACCAGCAGTTTTTAACCTTTTTTTTTTTTTTTTTGGTCCTCCAGAGTATTCATACATCCAAACACAATTATGTTGCAGCAATTCTCAAGACAGGGAGGGTGAAGATCTTGATTACAATTACTGAGCAGCATACAGGGTTTGGGAGGGTTCCAGGGGTGTATGGAGGAGGAGCAGGATTCTCAAGCAGATTCTGAGATTTTCTATGGGTGTAGAATGGAAGAGATGCACTTCTGACTGCTTTACATGATCAGTAATCATTAGCCTCACTTGAAAATCTCAGAAATCACATTTATAAAACTTTCAGAGTAGGATAACATCATTTGAAAGAGAAAAACCATGGTTTTGTTTAAATTAACTAGAGATACATACTTCAAAATGACTTGGTGTGCTTCAAAGATAGCGAATGTTTTATTTTCACTTTTAACGTCAGTAACTTTGGTATAAAACACATTGCTACCGCTCTCAGTGGTTGCACTGCTCTTGTAAAATGCATTCCTAAAAGTCAACTTAATTTTTTTTCCATATTTTACCATCAATTTCTGTCAATAATTATTGAATAGAATGACAATCCCTTTGTTAAAAATTTGAGTCAAACAATTGCTTTTTTAAAGAAAATAGACATTATCTTTAGAAAGATTATTAAGGCCTTTATTTTAAAATGAAACTTGAAAAATGATAAAAGTTTGTGTATTACCTATACATTAAAATTATCTCCTCAGAAACTTTTTAAAAAATTTATCACTATTTCCTAAGTTTTCTGTGATAGTTTAGAGTTTATTTAGAGTTTCTCTTACAGTATAGTTATTGAAAGGACAATTAATTTTTCTATGAATTTATTGGCAAGGCTCCATTTACCTTAAAGTATACCTAAGGTTTAAGTTGCAAGTATAATGAAGGAATGCATATAAACGCCTGCTGGGACAAGTCCTAACATGTGTGATGAATTATATTGTTTACTGAGAATGACGGCAAGGAAAACTGAGCCAGCCCCCCAAGCGGAAAACTGCTTAGGACATTCTAAAGTAGTAAACAGTATATTTATGTCATACACCAGTTAAACTAGTTCTTTAAGCACAGGATATGTGACCCTGCCCCCGTGGCTCCCTCATGGAGAATGCTTTCTGGTTTGCCTTTGATCAGTGGTAGGCAGGTACCAGCTGCCTGACTAGTTTATCTTGGGTCTATGAGAAAACACAGAAAATCTGCTTGTTAATAATAATCACCTGTTCAGAGAGACTAAATACGTAGGTCAGCGTCTGCTCAAGGCTCTCAGCTCTGAGGGCTGTTAGCTTCTGAGGCTGTCAGTTTGGAAGGTTAGAAGTGCTCTAAAAGTCCCACTTTGCACTATGTCTATCCCTACGTCTGTTTCTGAATACCTTCAGTGGTGCCTGGGTAGGCAGCTCTATGACCAAGCTGGCCTTGATAAACATCAAAATGACCACTCCTAAAGAGAGTCTAGGAATGGAGTTGGGGCCTTAGGTATGTTGTTTAAAATTTTAAAATAAGTAGATGTGTTGTTTACGTTTTTATTAGATTGTATCCATTCATCATATATGAATAGCTTAATTTGAAAATACAGAACCATACTGGGACATGGTATTCCATTTTTTTTTTTTCATTCCCTGAAAAATTGGATAACTTTGGGAAAGTCAGTTTTCTTTCTGGACTTCCTTTTCCTTCTGAAAAACAAGAAATTTAAACCAGACCCTCTCTAAAGCTCCTTCTTATCCCCTAATTTTATAATTCTATGGTATATAAGTCTGTGAAGCAAAGGAGGCATCAGGAGTTCTCAACAGAGAGCTTTCTCTCTCTCTCTTCTTTCTTTCTTTCTTTTCTTTTTTCTTTTCTTTTCTTTCGTAGAAAGTCATTTAGGGAGAGAAACAGGAGAAGGAGAGAGAAACCACTGACTCTCACACTGAGTGAGAGAATCCACAAAGATGGAATCCAGGAGGGGAAAGCAGCTTCCACACTGAGTGGAAGGGAATAGAGAGAGATGGAGTTTAGGAGGGGAAGACAGGCTTCCATGAGAGTATGGAAGGGGATCCCAGAGGGGAAATCCAGGAGAGAGAAAAACGGCTTCTACCAAGGGAGTGTTCCTTGAAGGGGATCCAAACATGGAGCCTGCCAACAAAGAGTTTTAAACCCTGTTTCGTTTCTGGAAGGCTTCTTAAACTTTTCAAGTATAATTCCATCCCTTGATACGAAAATATCAGTCTCTCACTCTGTTGTGAAGTAGTTGACTTATTCTTTTAATTGCCAGCAACCCTTGTCTTTCCCAGTTAACTCTTCAGCCCTCTGCCTAAGCATGATTTGATCCAGCTGGAATCAGAAGCTTGAAGTAGTGACAGCGCCACAACTTTATAGTGGTCAGGTTGCCTAACTGCAGGGGATGTTTCGGTGCTTGTCGCTCAGTCAGCAGGGTGATTTTCAGTACCTGGAAATGACAATCCAGCTCCCTCACTGGTGAAAAATTTGATTTGTTCCAGGATAGATTTGTTTGAGCTAGCTGCTCAAAAGTTTCATCCTGATGCATGGTTCAAAGGATTCCAGACTGCATCATAAACTCATTGATGTGACTTGTCCAACATTTGACTTTTTTAAAAAAATTAACACGTCTGTAATCCCAGCACTTTGGGAGTCCGAGGCGGGTGGATCACGAGGTCAAGAGATCGAGACCATCCTGGTCAACATGGTGAAACCCCGTCTCTACTAAAACTACAAAAAAATTAGCTGGGCATGGTGGCGCGTGTCTGTAGTCCCAGCTACTCAGGAGGCTGAGGCAGGAGAATTGCCTGAACCCAGGAGGCGGAGGTTGCGGTGAGCCGAGATCGCGCCATTGCACTCCAGCCTGGGTAACAAGAGCGGAACTCCGTCTCCAAAAAAAAAAAAAAAA